AGGTTAGTGAGTCAGAAGCCTCCAACTATAAAACCAGGGAGGTGAGAACTTGAGTTTGGGAGCTTCTACACAGATCAGGTGCCTGATACAGTGTGACTGATGGCCTGGGGTCTCACTCACTGCTTAACCGGGGCTCCTGGCAGCTGAAGGGGAGAAGATACTCTTGCAAGGTATAAATGGTAGATACTTTTATACTTTTATTCCTTAAGTACAGCATTACTTTTCCTTCCCCTACTGGCGTGTTCATTGCCTCCAAATCCCAAAAGAACCCCTGCCTCCTGGCAGAACATAGAGCATTCTTCGGTTTCCCAGATCTGAGAAGCAAACAGTCCCAGGCCTGCAGCTGGAGCTCCGGCTCTGATCTCCTTCCTCCACCCCTTGCAGCCAGCACAGAAAGAACCGTGCCAGCTGCCTCTCCGGGGATGGCAAAGCAACCTCAGAGAGGGGGTGAAGGAGGCCTTCTGCCTGGTGCGGAATGGAGATCAGCCTTCTTTTCTTCTTAGAGGCTTACCAGCATTGAAGGTACAGTTCACCCTGAGTCTTTAAACCCCACAAAGCAGGAAATACTCACTAGCATCCATGCCAGGCTAAAGGTATGGCTTTGGTTAGCATGCTTGGAGACACACATTATTTGTGTAGATCAGGGGTCGGCAACCCGCGGCTCCGGAGCCGCACATGGCTCTTGAACCCCTCTGCTGCGGCTCCGTCGCTCAAAACACACGCCGGCACAGCCGCTGATCCGCTCGAAGCGAAGCTCCACTCAGGAACGCAGGGCTAGCTAGTTAAGTAAGTCAGCTAGTTAAGTAAATTGCTACATTCCTCTGCTAAACAAGCTTCCTGCAGGCTCTCACGTTACACAAACCCTGCTGCAAAGATTCTCTTTGTCCCAGTGTAATCTCCTTCATCTGAATGTTAAAAGCTGTGCTTGGGACCTGTCACAATCCACAGCACTTGACTGTTTATCTGCTAATCAGTCACTAAACACACCTACATCTCCAGCACAGATCTGCGGACCTGCCTGATTTACTGAGCTCCCCCTCCCACCCTCCCATAGGCCAACCATGGACAAATCGAAGAAAAGTTTCTGAAGAAAACCAAATGTTTAATGGTACATGGGTAGATTCATTTGCTTTTACTGCTGATGAACTTAAGGGGTTTGCTGTTTAATGCATGCAGCCCTTTAGCATTGACTTTGACTCTGCAGGAAGCTGTTCGCCTGTTCAAAATATATGAAAGGAATCCTACTAGTTTATAATGTAAGATTAAAAATAACAGTTTTTAGTGACTGAACAAGAGCTGCAGCTAAATCATAATGAAGATACACATAACGTTAAGGTAAAAAACGATATATGCAGTGTTATCTTCATTTAAGATGTCAAAAGGGTTTTGCTGTTCCTGGTGTTTTCTTGTGTGTGGAAAACGGGTCCAAATGGCTCTTTGAGTGTTAAAGGTCGCCGACCCCTGGTCTAGGTGAAGACTTGCTGAACATCTTTCCGGGGTTAAAAATCTGTGGGAGGCACCTTGATGAAACTGCCACCAGTGCAGTTTAAGTATCCTGCTCTAGAACGCTGAGGGCCATTTTTAAAATGCACAGCTCGCAGGGAGGGCCACCCGCATGAAATGAGGCTTCGCTCATCCATTCAAAATATCAGTGACGCTTCTTAAGAAGGAAGCAAGTCTCCTTTCCATTAAAGCGTGAAATCACAAGCTCCAACTGCTGTATGGGAAACCTTGGTGAGCAAGGGAGAATGCCGGAGCTGGGCACCTTTGGCAAAGCATAGTTGGTCTGCAAGTGCGCATTATATTTCACAGTTTGACACGGCCTGCTGTCCAAAGCTCGCTGGGTGATTTGCAACATTTGCTAATTACTTGTATGTACTGATTCTGAACTAAGTCACTGAGAGCCAGTGGTGAAGAGCCTGGGACTGGGACTCAGGCGATCTGGGTTCTAGTCCCTGCTCAGCCATGGAGCCAACTGGGTGGCTTTGGGCCAGTCACAGACTCTCAGCCCAACCCACCTCACAGGGTTGTTGTTGTGGGGATAAGATGGAGGAGGAGATGTTAGCTGCCTTGAGCCGTGTGTAGGAAAAAGGCAGGATATAAATTGGGAAATAAATAAATAAATAAGGCAGCCATCTGTGTCTTACCTGTCTTGTGACTTCTTGTGGCATCATGGCCAGCAAAACATCCTGTCTGCTCCTTCCACCTCCCAGCCCTCATAAATTACCCCTTTCTCTTGCTCAAGTCCTTACTCCTGACTGACAGCATATGACTTTCATTCCCACCTATTCTCTGCTTGTATCTCTTTAGGAGAAATGTAGATGAAAGAAGGAGACGTGGGAAAGGACAATATTACATCACGGGTGCAGTTTGTTCTTGCTGGGCTTCTTCATTAAAGATCGGCCGCCCTTTCTCTTGGCGTGGTCCTCGCCATGTTCTCTTCTTTATTGCTCTGGTGGGAAACACCCTCCTCCTCTTTCTGATTAACATAGACGCTGCTCTGCAAACCCTGCCCTGTAGCATCTCCTCAGTCCCTTGGCCTTCACAGGCCTCTCAAAGCTTCCCCAAGTGACAGAGAGTTTTGCCGCTCAGAGAAACTGAGAGCAGATTGTAAAGCAGTCAGTCTGCAAACACCCTGAAAACAATGCAGTGGTTACTACGAAGCCAACAGGGATTTCTCAAAAACAAATCCTGCCAGAACAAATCGGATCTCGTTTTTTGATTGGGTAACCTCCCTGATGGATTGTGGCAATGTCATGGACATAATCTGTCTTGACTTAGAAGCAAAGCTTTGGACTTAAAAGACATTTCCACAAAGATCCCAGTCCTGGTGCTTATATGCACTAAGCTGGTAGGTGGTCTGATGGCGTGAGACTCATTTGTGTGATGGAACTGGTTGGCATCCAAGGCAGTTGCTAGGCTTGGCCACGTTCTGCAGCTCTGTATTTTGGAGCAATGATTATTTTCAAAGTTTAAAAAAGCAGAAAAAGAAGACAGACGGAGAAGCTATAGCTTGGGAGACTGTAATATAAGTCCTTTTAAGATTAGTGATACCACTCCAACAGAGAGACCTACCTCTTCTCAGGGACCAGAGCTTGCAGCTGGAACTCTTGTGTGTGTGCTGGACGCAATGGAGACTACCGGCCTACCGTTCCATGAGAGTCATCTTCTCTCTCGTTACATAAGCAAGACTTCGCTGGGATTCTAGAAGTAGAGCAGGAATGCAGGAAAGCAGACCACCCTTTTTGTAGATATTGCTGGGGAAAAGTCTGGGATTGGCAGGACATTTAATTGGACAAGGTGCCCCATGATGTCCTGATCAGCAAACTAGCTAATGGTGGGCTAGATGGAACCACCATCAGGTGGATCCACGGTTGGCTACAGGATTGGACTCAAAGAGCGCTCCTCAGTGGCACCTTCTCAAACAGGGGAGAGGTAACCTGTGTATAGCTTCAAAACCACATGAGGTTCGGGGTTAGAAGGCAGTCCAAGCAAAGGAATGTCTCGAATCAGCACTGCTGTGCACTGTTTTGCCTGTGTATGACCTTTTGCCTGTGCACCAGCTTCATGGCGGGGTAGGATAACTACAGTCCTTCACGGATCAATCCAACCCAAAGTTCAAAACCCAGCTTGGAGTCTGGTACTCTGCCTGACTGGTGGAGTCCCCACTCGCAGTTTCAGCCGCCACTGTGGAAGGCTTGGCCAAGCCCCCTCCTTGGCTGGGTCTGGCTGCTTGTCCGAGGGTATTCTGAGGCTGGGATGCCACGGATGCCACCCCCGCGGCTCCTTCTGGCTGCAGCTGAGAAGGTGCCCCTCCCTCCCTCCCTCCCTCCACCTGAGTGCCGTCCAGGGGGCGACCAGGCAGAGCTCAGGTCTGAGCATCCGGACAGCCAGGCCTCTGCTCAAGGAAAACCTGCCTGAGGAGCAGCTTCCCCTTCCCCAGAGAGATGGAGAGTCAGAGTCAGTGGTGGAAAGGCCAGGATTGGGTTAGGGTTAAGGTTAGGGTTAATCCTATCCACAATCCACAGGGCCAACAATTAGACAGAGACTGAGCATCAACTATTGCAAATTAATTTGCTCCTCCACAGAGTGAGAAGTCGCACTTTGGGGAGGGGCCGTGCAGACCTTCCCAACCCTCACCATCTTGTATGTCTTCCCACTGCAATGCGCTGTGCTGATTTGCTGCTGTACTGTAGGCAATGCCAAGAGCAGAGCTTTTTCCAGGACTGCAAACCCATCCAATCAGCTGGAAAGATTGCTGCGTGGATCCCAGACCGCTGGAGTCTCTTCTTTTCCTGGCAGGTCCACTTCGTCCTGCTTGAACAGATCCAGGGGCTGAAGCTCCCAACCCCTCAGGAATCTGGACCCCAGAGGAGAATTCTGTATCCAGTCCATGCCACATGCCGGTGGAGCCCAGGGCTGGTGCGACAGCAGTTCCAAGAGTGACTAGAAACACGTGCAAATGCTTATTGTCCTAACAGGGCGGGACAGCGGGACTGACAGAAGCTCTGCTGAGCTGTCTGGATGTGGACACAAGTGTTTCCACTTGTTTCCAGGGTTGCTTTCCAGAACACAAGCTTCCTCTTGTGCTAACAGTGGATGCAGCTTGCACAAGAGATGGAACGGGCTGCTGCCCCAGGAGTAGAGCTGAAGACGGTGGGCTGCAACACCCTAACTGAGTTTGCCTAGAGAGTTCATTGCACTTCACCTGTGTCCTCACTGTAACCCTTAAGCAGCCCTGGGAGGTACATCAACATCATTGGACCACACATTTTTCCACTAGGGTGCCAAACCACATAGCAAATTTGTTACATTATTTACTAAATGACTCAGAAAGCTCCACAATGCAACAAAGGATATTTTTTTTTAGCTTTTCATACCAATTAGACAATGGTAGTGGAAATTTTGTGCCTATTTCCTTAATTTCCTTAAGGAAATTTCCTTAAGTTACTGATAACTGCATTTCTTCAGTTGAACCCGTAGCTTCCGAAGGGACAGTATCAATCACGATGCAATGCATATTTTGCAAGGAGCTTTCTCAGTGCTGCCAAGACATCCCGGTTCCTCAGGCTGTATATGAAGGGGTTCAGCATGGCAGGTACAATAGCAGCGAACACGGTGTTGATCACGGCCTTTTGAGCCGAATGGGAGGCTGCGGGGGCCATGCAGGCCAGGAGGGCTGCTCCGCAGAAGAGCCCCACCACACACAGGTGGGACAAGCAGGTCCCCAGGGCCTTGTGGCCCCTCTCCGAGGAACGGGCTCGCAGCACCTGCAAGAGGACGGCCAGGTAGGAAGCCAGGATGACCGAGAGAGGGGTGAGAAGGACCAAGACGTTCCCAAGGCAGGTTGTTCTTTCAAAGGCAGAGTCATCAGAGCAAGACAACTGGACAAGAGCCGGATAATCACATGCATAATGGTGGATCACGTTGGGCTTGCAGTAGGGCAGAGGCAGCACATGGAGGGAGCACATCAGGGCCTGCACAGAAGACGAAAACCAGACCCCCACAGGCATCATGGAACAGATGTTGCTCCTCATGAGGGCTGGGTATTGCAGAGGCTTGCAGATGGCCACGTGCCTGTCGCAGGGCATGGTAGCCAGGATCAAGCACTCCGATCCTCCCATGAGCAGCACAACAGTAATCTGAGCAGCGCGGCCGTGGAGGGAAATGCTGTACAGCTGGGTTGCCAAATTCACTGCCGTTTGGGGAACGATGGAGAGGACCTGGCAGAGGTCAATGAGGGCTAGCTAGCTGAGGAAGAAGTACGTCGGGGTCTAAAGCCCCGAGTCTGCTTGGATCAGAAAAATAAGGAGACTGTTTCCCGTCAGAGCCACAAAGAACAGCAAGAGAATCATACCAAGGAAAACAGGGGGTGACTTTTGATGCAGGAGCCCGGCCAGAATGAACTCCACCCGTGATGTAGCATTCTCCTCTCCCATGCCTCCTTCCTTTGCACAGATTTTATCTAAAGGCACAAAGAGAGAATTTGTAAGAAAGGCTGTGAACATTTTGGGTTAGATCTACCATCAATAATACCAGTTAGGAAATAATTGAGGTGTTGTGCTCTGCTATCCGTCTGAAATGAAATTCTCCCCTACGCCAGCCAAATTAATGGGCCCCACGATTCCCAGCGCGAGGAGCAGCGTGTTGTGCCCGGCTGCCACACAGGGCTGGCCCAAGTCGTCCTGCATCTGAGGGACGGGACAGGGTGGCACCAGCCCTCACGCTTGGGCAAAAGCAGGCTGGGCTGGCAGGGGAACCTTGCCTTCCGCCCTAGAATTATGGAAGCATAGAAAGGATCCAGAAGGCCATCAGGACCCACCCCCTGCTCAGTGCGGGCCTCCCAGTGAAACCATCCCTCTCAGATGCATCGTGGATGCCTCCATGATGGGAGAGCCCACCGCCTCCTGGGGGAACTGGTTCCATTGTCATCCTGCTCTGAAAGTCAGGGCGTTTTTCCTGACGCCCATCTGGAATCAGGCTTCCTGTCCCTTGAGCCTGGCATCCCATGTCCCGCACTCTGCAATGATCAAGAGGAGACCCTGCCCTTCCTCTTTGCAACAACCTTCAGTGGTGGGACAATGTTCTTTGCTGAACCTGAAGGCAGTGTAAGGGGTGTGTCGTGAGCTGCAAGAGGCACCATTTCCTCCTTGAACACCGTCTGCTGCCTCCCAGCATCTGCTGCCTGGGGCCACTGCCCTGCTTGCCCAGTGGTGGGGCTGGCCCCACTGCCATGCCCTGGGCACGGACCTTGTCAGGACCAAGCGGTGGCAGCCGTAGGGCAGCAGTGACGAGGCTGAGCATGCCGGGCTTCAGACGCAGGCCTTTAAGAGCCACGCATTCGAAGCCCTGGGTGGAGGAAACGGTCAGCCTCTCTTTCTCACACATTCCGTTTTGGTTTGCTTGTTTGTTTGTAATCTCAGGTTCTCTCCATTCTAAACAGGAAAAAACGTGCAACTTGATACAGTCTTATTTTTAAAATGGAAGGAAACAAATTTCTCGGCAATCCCGTAAGGTGGTGGTTATAAAAATCTGCAGACGTTTGCCTTGACTATGCCTGGCCGTGCAGGTGACAGGTGCTTTGCAAAACGAGTCCCTCACGACTCTGGAAACTATGCCGAGCGCAGTGCAAGGGGCATCCCTGGGACCCGTCCAGCGGGCAGCCCTTTGCAGTCCAGCGCAGGCTATGGCAGGAGTCCAGCAACAGCCACCCCATCACCACGCGGCCTTCTTCCCAGGTCCCCCTTCCCCAGCATCATGCCATTATCATCAACAAATTTTGGGTAGCAAAACTCACTGTCCTTTGGGGGACAATGGAGAGGACTTGGCTGAGGTCCATGCAGGCCAACTGGCTGAGGAAGAAGTACATTGGTGTCTGAAGAGCCGGGACTGTTGAGAAAAATAAGGAGGCTGTTTCCTGTCAGAGCTACAGTGGACATGAACAGAACGAGCACAAGAAAGACGGCAGGCGACTTCTGATGCTGAAGTCCAACCAGAACAAACTCCACCCACGATGTTACATTCTTCTCTCCCATTCCTCCTTGCTGTGGCTGCATTTTAGGTCAAAAACGACACAAGGAGAGAATTTACGGCAATCCCAGGGCAAGGAAGGAGCAAATCCAACATGGATTATGGCAATAATCAGGCCTTTATTGTCCAATCACCCTGCCTCAGGGGATCCACACAAGATCCAATTCGCAACTCTGCTCCCGTATTTGCCCACTACATCCACCTTTTTTCCCTTTGAGAAAAAATCCACGAAGAAAGAGGGGATGGAGAAGTTGCAGAATGCCTTTTGCACTGGGAGCCATCCACTGGAAGTATCTAGTATGAAAGACAAAGCAGAATTTTAAAAGTACACGGGGGTATTCCAGAGCTGGTAATACTTGGAATTGTAAGTGCATTGAGATGGAGTTAAACAACACAACAGGCTGAGATATTTAGGTTAAATCCATCTAGCACAATCCTATCTTGCGAATGCCACTGCGTAGATTTACGTACCCAGAAGGGTGTCACAGTGCTGTCATGGTCTTCAGGGACAACTAGTGCTGGTTAAGAGCAGAAAGCTTATCTGGGGAGCAGTGGGGCAATCTTGCCAGCAGGCCAAGTATTCGGCTCACCTGCTGTTCCAGGCGCCCTTCAACTCCTCTCTGCCACTTGCCCCAACATTTCACTCTCCTGCCCTGCCCCGTCCAAGCACAAAGGTTGCGTCTGATGTTACTCCTGCTTAGAGCAGACACACTGAGATGAATATGGCTTAACTTCACATTGATTAGGCTGAGTACCATTCATGTCAATGGGCTTACTCTAAGTAGGACTGATACCAGAGGCTACCCAAACTACTAACATAGTTCATCATGCAACGCATCTGAGTGCACATGTCTTTGTCTATGTCTTTGAAGGCAAGCAAAATGCATGTTATTTTAAGTCAGCAACAGTGCAGGGCATGCAGAATTGGAACGAGAGAGAGATTTTAACCCTATCTCCCCACGCTGCAATTCAAACAATCCCCGCTTTCAAAGCTGCTGTGGGAATCAGGAGGGATTCCTGGAGGGGGAATTTTCACTGGATGTGCATGGCTCTGCAAGTTTCACAAGCAGGACACTACTTTACCCATGCTCCCCAGCGAATGATATTCATGACCAGGACATCACCAAGTGACAGCAGGGGCAACACCCAGCCTTCCGGACTAGCAGCCATTGGTATCCTTTTCCTCCATGAATTTGTCTAATGCCAAGAAGCGGGTAGCCATTTTTCTGTACAGAATAAATTTTAAGCTGATTGCACTGTAACATTCTGGCCTCCCCACGTTTCTTCCAAAACTGACATTACAGTGGCCTCTTCCCCATCCTCTCTACAGAGCCGGTCTCTTCAAGACTGAGTCTATTTAGCAGTTTCAGATCTGAATCCCTTAAGGGCGTTGGATGGATACAGTCAGGGCAAAGTGATGCTCTGTCCATACAGCACCCGCGTCTCCTCCCAAAGCAGCAGCATGTGCGAATGCCAGCCAGGACACACGTCTCCTTGCCAGCAACATTGGCCGCTCTGGGGAACATCCCTCCCATCTCTGGTTCTCCTGCTGGCTCAGCCATTCAGCAAGTCAGAGTAACTCAGGACTGCAAAGAAACCAGGGACTGGCTGTCAGAGGTCAGTGCCATCCTGGGGTCCTTCCAATTTTCCTGCAGCATCCAAAGCAGACAAACAAGGCAAGAAGAAAGTAGGGTGTCCTTTAGCTCCAAGCAGGTCCTCCTGCCTGGGAATCTCTTCTGCCAGAGTAAGAGGATGGGGACTGAGCAGGGAGCCAAAGCCACCTGGAGCCATCCTGGGATTGCTAACGGAGCCCCCTCCCCGGCTTCTGCATCCTGAGACCGCTGCAAGGCTGGAGAGGAGGAGGTTCTCGCAGGGACGCTTCTCTGAGCAAGAGGGTGACTGACGGCAGGGAGCGCCCTGGCTAAAGGGGCTTGTTCTACCCTCAAGGATGCAGCAGAAACCTCCTCCTGCCCATGCTGTGCTGCAGACGGGAAACCCTGAGAACTGGGAATCAAGCCAAGGGCAGGGCAAGAACACATATCCCTGGAGGAGGGACCCTTTTTACAGGAGTGGAGGAAGCCTTGTGGCTAATGAGATGAGATAAGAATGTAATTAATTAATGGGACATCACCCACCTTGTTCTGCATTTGGGATCCCACTAACTGAAGATGGGACAAAAATGGGAGGAAATATTCAACATGTAATTAACATTTGTTACTGAGTTGTTATAACATAACGTAGAAAATGTGGAGTGCGTGGCAGCAGAAGACACAAACACAGAGAAGGACGTTGTGTACGGTTTTGTCTTTTACTTCCTAACGTATTTGTTATGGTAAGAAAGAGGAAAGAGCAGGTGGGAAAATATTGAAGAGTTATCTATTGAATATGACTCTGCTGGGACCTTCTGTAACATTCCACAGAATAGATGGGGTGAGGGTTGCAGACGAAAGTCTCATCTCCTATTTCACCCTACAGGAGAAGAACATGGTCAGCAAGAAGGGACTGCAAGGCCAGCACGGGCACCCAGCTCTGTTGAGCAGCTAGGACACACATTTAAATTTCCCACAGGGCCTCTGAGCACTGCTAGATCTGGGGCATTGTGGGACATCTTAAATGACAGCCTGCAACTGCCCATCAAGGCCACCGGTGCTGCAAACACACCCAAGGGCCCCTTGCCAAAGGCTTCCTCAAACCTGAAGCTGCCCAGCCCTGATGGGTTGCATCCATTTCCCAACACACCCCCAGTTCCTGCCCCTTTTCAGCTCATCTGGGACATGGGTAGGTTTCTCAAAACCTTCCCATGCCATAGGGTTTTAGCATTTTAGAAAGACAGGCTTGGTTTCTTCGCAATTACAGAGGAAAAGCCCAACAATTTGGCAACAGAACATGCTTCAGGGACAGGTTGCCTCACCCAACATTTCTTCATATGTGCATCCTCATCATTCTGAAGAAAAAGCTGTGTCTTTAATTTGGAAACATTCAGCGCCAGCAGTCTCATCACTCACTCATCAAAGCCAGGGTTGTAGCTCTCCATGGAGAACTTCTCAGCCATCTCATCCTT